AGGAGGCCCCAAGCTTTGCGGAAAGGCAGGCAGGGCCCAGGACTGCCGGGGCACCCAGGCCTCCCCAAGCAGGGTCTCTTGCCCACTCGCAGTGGATGGGAGCCCAGGCCTCACTGAGGACACTTCAGAAGGAAGGCCCAAGGCCCCAGCGGGCAAGAGGCTGGCGGAAGCCCCTAGCTTCTCTGCCCTGAGGCCCCAAGCCAAAGCCCCAGTCCCTCTGACAGCGGGGCTTGGGGAAGGGAGGTTGGTAGGGCCTGAGGACAAACAGCCGCCACGGTTGGAATCGCAGGCTGTGAACTATGGGGAGGAGAGAAGACCGCCCCGGTCTCACCACCCGCACCTGAGAAGGAGAGGGGCTTGTAGATGATTTTATCTGATGGCTGGTGGAGAAAGGAGCAAGGGACACCCCCTGCCAGGCCTAGTAATCATTGGAGAGGCCTCTTGAGGTCCTTCCAAGGAGCACAGGGGCTCAGCACATCATTCCCAGGAGCCCAGGTTCTCGCTGCCCTGAGAAGGCACAGGGGCCTGGGGGTGGGGTCCCTAGAGGACAGAGGCAGCAGTGCAGGAGGCAGAGTGACCAGTTCAGGCTGAGGCTGGGGAGGGGTGGAGGGGGTGGGTGTCAGATGGGGTGGATAGCTCCATCAACAGACGTACAAGCCTCTGGGTGGGCAGCAGCTAGGACGCCCAGAGTTGGGGTCCCCAAGGAGGCAGCAGTGTACCCAAGGAGCCCCCCATCTACCTGCCAACCTCAGTCCAGCCAGGGGAGCGAGAGGAGGGGCTCTGCAGCACCTCCCCTGCCCCGGGGCCTGGAAGGGCTGCATTAGGCTGGGCTGCGGCACCCCCTGGGCCGGGGGCTGGGGGAGCTGCCCGAGAAGAGGTCCTGAGAGCACAGAGGACAACAGCCAGAGCAGAGCCCAGCGCTCACCGGCCAGAGCGCCCCTGCGGCCTTCCTCACACCCACGCCCTCCCCAGGCTTCTTCAGCTGGGGCCGGGCCTAAGGGGCAGCAGGCAGGGCTGGAGGCACCACTCTCACTTCCAGAGGGGCCTGGGGGGTCAGAAGAGGCACATTCATTCAGGTGGGAGTTGGGCCCTCCTCCATTTCTCCTGCAAGGGGCGGAGGGAGAGCAGCCCGGTCACTCCAACCCCCTCAGTGATAAGCCAGGGAGGAAGCCGTGGAGGTTACCGAGGGGAAGCGGGTATCCTCGTGCCCCTCAACCCCTGCATAGCCTTGCTCTCCTTCTCCCCACGACACCCGCTCGAGACAGAGCTTCCCCCTCACTCACCTCTTTGCAGGCTTAACTCCTGGCAGCAAAACTAGCTGGTTGGGCCCCTCAGCCTTTTGTACTGGGCTGGGGAGCCAGGTGGGGCAGCCAGGGGGCAGGGCCTCACTCAAGCTGGAGGCTCACCTGAGCACCCTCCTCCTTTTATTAGGGCAAGAGGGGCACGTGATGTCTAGAAAGCCCACCTGGGTGGGGAGAGAAGCCCAGCCAGGGCAGGTCTGAGCCAGGCCAACAGGGGGCGGAGCGGAGCCAGACACAAAGGTTCCTGGCCTCCCCGCTGGCCCAGAACCCTCAGGACTGGCTCTATGTGTTAACACAGGCCCCGACCTGATGTGACCATCAGCAAGTTCCTGTATCAGTTTCCCCACCTGTAATCTAGTGGGAGTAGTAGTCCGTGTTACTGGAAAACCTGACTCAGCATCACCTTCAATTAAAACCCAGGTTCCTGGGGCTTCCCTGGTGGCGCAGTGGTTGAGAGTCCGCCTGCCGATGCAGGGGACACAGGTGCGTGCCCCGGCCCGGGAGGATCCCACATGCCGCGGAGCGGCTGGGCCCATGAGCCATGGCCACTGAGCCTGCGCGTCCAGAGCCTGTGCTCCACAACTGGAGAGGCCACAACAGTGAGAGGCCCGCGTACCGCAAAATAAAACAAAAACAACAAAACCCAGGTTCCTGGGCTCTGCCCAAGACCCTTCTCAATGGGGCCCGGGAAACCATTTCCCAGGTGATTGTTTGAAAAGCCCTGCCTGGGCGCAGCCCAGCCCAGGAGCCTTAGCCGGTTACAGGGAACGGTGGGGTCAGAACCGAAGCAGAGTGGGCCCCACTCCAGTTTCCTTGAGGGCTGGGGAGCACCCAGCACACTCAGCTCCGCACCCCATCCCCCACTTCCTTGCCCTCAGCTCTTAGCCATCAATATCCCCACCAAAGAATGGAACAGGCTTTCTGAAAAACTGTGAGGGGTGATAGCACTGCCTCCCTGACAAGAGTCCTGGGGCAGAGTTCTGTTCCGGTCCCACCACCTTAGGCTGGGCTCCTTAGGATGCTGTCGTATCTCCTCCCTTAACAGACCCCTCAGGCCAGGGCCAGGTCTCTCCCCTCAGACTGGGCTCCCAGGACACAGTTATCCCAAGGGAGGCAGCCACCTCCCCCTACCAGCTCCAGCTCTGCACTGCCCTCATCCAGCCTCTGCACCATTACGGTCCTCTAGGGCCCCAGGCGGACTCGGGTGCGGGTGCGGAGCCCTATCTCGAGGTGTCAGATCCTGCCAGGTAACCGTGCACAAGATGCATGCCTGGCACGTGACAGGGACACAGTAGGTGTACAAGGAAGGCAGGAAAGGAGGGAAGAGGGCAGAGGAAAGAAGGAAGGAAGGAAAAGAAAATAAAAAGGAAAGAAGGAAAGAATCAGAGCCAAATCCAGCAAGGCCCTGGTAGCCGGGTGGGTGAGGCTGGCAGGCTGCAGAAGCCCAGGGCCCGGGGGTTCAGAGTGACCTCACCTACGCTGCAATCCTGTCTCTCCCTGCCTACGCCAGTAGCGCGGAGTGATTCAAACTCTCCAACACCTCGGCTTTCTGTAAACATGAACCACACCCCACCTCTTCAGTTCGCAAGACAGAGTTGACTGGTAGGAGCAGAGGCTGGATTTGAGCCTTGTTTCCAGGCCCCGCCTCCTCCCATCTTGCTCCTGCACTCCAGCCACACCTATTTCCTCTGGGACCCTGCGCATGCTGTTCACCTGACTCAGGAAGCACTCGGCACTCATTTACCCACATCTTCCTACTTGGCTCCAAGGCCCACTTCAGGCCTATTTCCTCTTCTGGGACCCAAGGACACCTCCTCACATCCCGGTTAGGCCAGGTCCCTTCTGAGCTTCCATGGCACCCTTCCCCCAGGTTCTGCACTGCAGTCACCACATGTGTTGGAGTTACCTATCTCCTGACCTGTCCCCTTCCCAGGCCAGGGGACTCCAAGGGCCTGTGTGGATAGAGTACTGGGGGCAATGGGTCTACACAAATAGTGTAGCTGAGCTCAGTGAAGACCCACAAATATTAGGATAGATGCTGGTAGGTGTTGACCAGCCCTCACAGACTGGCTCTGCCCAGACTGAGTGGGAAACCACAGCCAGGAGGCAACCTCAGCAGCCCTGAGAACAAACCTCTATGGGAATACATGCCAGCAGAGGCAGGGTGTCTGGAGGGAACCTAAGCCCAGCTAAGGTGTAAGAGGGGCCATCCCTCAGTGGAGAGATGGGGACAGCTCTGTTTTACCTAGCCCTTGGCAGGCACATCCTTGGTCCTGGCAGAGGGGCACACAATAGGGTCTGGTGACCAGCATTTCTCACTGGGCAGTGGGCTACATACCAGCAACCACCAGGACCCACATGGGTCTCAGGAGGGAGAGGCTTTGCCTGAGCAGGGAAATGGCTGCACCGTGGGCATGTGGTGAGGGCCCATGTGGCCGGAGCAAGTGCGCACAGCGTGCTTGTTGGCCTCAGCATCTTCTGGGCTGGGAGCAGGGAGAGCTGCAGCCTCTGAGTGAAGGGCTAGTGATGATATCACCTGGCGATGACATATGAAATCTATGACCTCCCCCCAAGACACAGTCAGGCCCCAGGTCCAAACAACCCAAATGCTTTTATGTTTAATGGCCTACCTCCAGGGCCCACAGCCTTATTACAGACCTTAACTAGGCCAAGGGCCTGGCTTGCCAGCCTCTGGCTCAGTTCAGCACTCTGCAAGAAGGTAACCCACAGCAGGCCTGGCTGATGCGGCCCTGGCTTGGGGAGGGCCAAGGTCCTTAGTCGACATCTTCGGAGACCTCCCAGGACTGAGCTGTCACTCAGCCTGTCCCTTTTTTAGTCCCTGAGTCCCTGCAGCTGCTTGGCTTCCGGCAAACACACAACTTTCCTGGGAAAATGCACCAGGTTGGGGCGGCACCTCAGGGAAGTCACTGGTGTCAATTCAGCACAGGCCGGGGCCTCCCAGGGGTGAAAGCAGCAGGCCCAGGACAAGGATGCCAGCCCCAGGCTGTATCCCTGCACCCCCTGTAGCAGGGGATGGGAGGGGAAGGCTCCCTCAAGGAGCTCCAGACTCGGGAGTTAGGGCCCAACCCCAAATGCTGGGGCTGTATGTAGCCCTAGGGTTTCCTGGGAAATGACTCTAGGAAGTGTGTGAGCCATATACACTGGACAACATACCACTCTAAGATGACCAAGTCCTATGACACATCAAGACTTTCTAGAGGAAGGTTCTGCGGGCCTCAGCCTCCTATTCCAGGCCCTGGCTGAGATCTAGGCTCCTGTCCTGGGCAGGACGCAGAGAGCAAACCATGATGGGTGTGTGTCAGGCATCACCCCACAACAACCCTGCGAGGTAGGCTGTGTTGTCCTATTTTACAAACGGGGAACTGAGGGCGCAAGAGAGGAAGTGGCCTGCCCGTTTACACAGCAAGGAACAGGAGCCAGGATTCAAGCCCAAGTCCGTCGGGCTCCAAAGCCCACACGTTTTCTCTACGGAAGAAACAGGAAGTGGTCCTTTCTGATAAAGGCCCTCAAGTTAAAAGTTCAGGGGCTCTCAGCCCAGCCTGGGGTGGGGGGCGGGGGCAGGGTAAGAGCTGGAGAAACCCCAAGGCCACGTCCACTCCTGGCCCTCAGCAGCTAGACCGGCAGAAGCGGGGCACAGAGAGTGATCCCCAGATCTCCAAACAGCAGAGGCGACCAAGGCTACAGCTGATGACTCTGGCTGCCCAACAGCTGCGGGCGGGGCGCGGTCCGGTCGGGTCCTGAGGCCTTGTGGCCCCAAGTGGGCAGAGCCAGGCCATTGAGCCAGGCGGATTCGAGCAGGCTGCGGAAGCGTGCCCTCATCGCGGGGCCGGGCAAGCTGGCACCAGCAGCAGGGGTGGGTGAGGCACCTCGGGACCCTCCTCCAGCAGTTGCCTCTGCTTTCTCCAGGCCAGGGGTTGGTGCCTTCCTCCCCGGCTTTTTGGCTTTGGGGGCAGACAACTTCCAAGCCAGGTCTAGGCTCTCTGGCTCCTCTCTGGCCACGGTGGGCTCTGAGGAGGGCACAGATCCAGCCTCAGTGTCAAAGTCACCTGGAAAATGAACATACCGTCAGGCTGCAGACCCCCAACACCCTCAAGTCCCATCTCCAGGCCTCCAAAGCCATCTAAACCAGTGGCTCTACTGTCCCAGGTCAGGGCGGCCCTGGCAGGGTCACAGACATCATGACCCTTTCCCAGCATGTGCACACTGGCCAGACTGTCATGCCCGTCAAGCCGAAAGGGTGTGCTTCTCCTCAGGTGATACCAGCACTCTATCTAGTGGGGGAACCCCCCAGGAACCCTTTGGGTGCAAGGACAACAGGAAAGGGGCTCAACAGGCCAGAAACCATTGGTCTGATCCAAAGGGTCACTGAACAGGTGGGGAAACTGAGGCACAGAGAGAGAGGACCCTGCCACATATAAGGGTGCCATCATCCTTCTGTCACATCACCCCCAGAACCGGAACAAGAGCCAGGCAGGGACTGCCCAGAGAGCAGTGCCTGGAGGGAGGGAGTGGAGGAAGGGGTGGAGGGAATGGGAGGGGCCTTCTGACCAAGAGCACACCTACTTGGAAGCGGGGCTGTCAGGGGAGCACTGTCTAAGGACACCACTGAGGAGTGGCCCCATAAGGATACGGGAGGGAATGGGGACGGGGGCACCAAAATGCAGCCAGTGGTAGGAAGCTGGGCCCCAGACTCTCGTAGGCTTGGTCAGAGCAGGAGGGGTCTGTGATGTGCCTGTGACCCACCGTCCAGAGGACCTGTCCCTCTCTGGGGCCCAGAGAGCCCAAATGTGTAGAGAGAAGACTGGCTGGGGGGCTTGTGAGTGAGGCATGACACCCACCTTCACTCTTTCTCACCCAGGAATAGAATGCTTGTACTTGCGTTTTCTTTGCACCCCATTAGGGCAAATGCCCCAACTTTGTAAGTGCTCAGCAATGCTCATCACCCACACCCCAAACTCCACATCAGCACCTCGCTGCCTCAGGCCCCCTCTCCACCCCGATATGGAGTCTGGACCAGGGCAAGACTGCCAGGATGGGGAGGGGACAAGAAAGAGTTTCTGTGGAGACACAACCAGAGGCCTGGTGGACGTAAGGCAGGGGGACTACAGAGTGGGCCCCTGGCCTCAGTGCCAGATGTCCTGAAGTAGGACAGGCAACGACAGACACCACTTGACACCATCACCGAAGGTGCGGCTAAAGAAGAGTGATCCTTGTGGTACCCGCCGTGAGGCACTACAGCCACTCCCCAGAGCAAGGTCCAGCTACCTGAACTGAGGCAGAAGATGCTCCCGGACACAAAAACAGCACATTGGACAACACCGTGCACAGATTATTTGGTAGGGAAAAGCAAACCACAAAATGACGCTCCGACTTACAGGCAATTTCTGTGTGTGTAAATATCTGGGAGGACTGGGGAATTACACATTTAATAGTGTTCAGGGAGGGAGGGTGGGACCCCTCCCCCTCCCAGGTTTGGGGTACGAGGTGCTGGATGAGTGCAGTGCTGCTGAGACGGGAAAGGTGGGGATGGGAAGCGAGCTCAGGGGAAAGGTCAGGAGCGTGGTTTGGGAGGAGTTAAGGGTTGAAGAGACCCCAGGTGCAGAAGCCCAGCATGCAGCCAGGTATTTGGGGCTTGAGCTCAGAAGAGGGGAGCGGGGCGGGACAGACACAGGGGGAGGTGACCTCAGACAGGCACAACGGAGGATGAGGGGGGAACCTGGGAGGGTGCTGCGCCAAGGAAGGCCAAGTTTTCCTGGGGACAGGGCAGTTGGCATGTTCAGAGACTTACGAAGGAGGCTGTGCAGGCGCTCACTGAGGCTGGGGGTAAAGAGGGATGGGGGCGTCCACAGAGCCTACCCTGGAAGGCCAGCCCCCTCCCCAGGCACTAGCTCTTTCCAGAAGCCCGGGAATCCCTCAGCCCCTGGCTGCGACCACTCACACAGCCCACACACCTGTCACTCGCTCACACAGCTCCGGTGGCTACTGGGGCTGCCCCATGCTCACCCAGCTGGCGGCGTACACAGTCTCGCCACTGAAGGCCCAGCAGGTCAGGGTAGATGTCGGGCAGCTGGCGCAGTGCCAGCAGCTTCAGCATGCGCGACGTGCAGCCGTGCAAGGCGCGCTCCCGCAGGGCCCGCTCCTCCGACAGCGTGGTGGGCCGCAGCTCCACGCGATGCTCCTGCAGCACGTGGTCCACGGAAGCGGGTGGCAGCCGCGGGAAGAGCCGCTCCTTCACCAGGTGGATGGGCACGAAGATGGCCCCGGCCCGCACCACGTGGGGGAAGGGGCACTGCTGCGTGCACACGAAGCTCTGCAGCTGGGACAGCAGCTTGCTCAGCAGCCCCTGCACACCCTGGCAGTCCTGCCACGCCGCCCGGCCCCAAGGCCCAGACGTCTCAAGCCACTCGCGCAGCTTTTCCGGTGGGGAGTGGGCCACTGAGCCCGAGATGGCGTCACACAGGGAGGCATGCAGTCCTGCAAAATGTTGCTCTGGGGAGTCTGCTGTGGCGGGAGTAGACGCTGGAGCGGGGCCTACAACTGGAGCCGGAGCTGGAGCCGGAGCCGGAGCCGGTGCCGGTGCAGGCGATGGAGCCGGAGCAGGGGCCGAGGCGGGGGAGGTCATGGCTACAGCTGGAGGGCTGGGCAGCGCCAGGTTGAAGCAGGCCACGGGCAAGGGCTGGGTGAGAATCTGTAGTCCAGCGGGCACAGGTGTGGGGGTGGGTGCAGGCTGAGCAGGGGCTGAGGTGGGCACAGCTGGGACCACGGCTGGAACCACAGTTGCAGGCAAGGGTGCTGGCCGGAGGATCTTGAATTTTCGGAACATGAAGGCCACAGAGCTGTGGAAGTTGGTCCTTGGGGTCGCCTCTGTGGTCACTGGCACCCCAGGCAGGTCTGGTGCCTCTGTGACTACCTTTTTCAGGGCTTGCCGATCTGAGACTGTGTCCCCCACACCTGGCATGTCGGAGACTGTGTTTCCCACGCCTGGCACACACACAGCTGCGGAGGCCTTGGCATGCCCTGCGGGATGAGGGACCTTGGTAGGCGGGGCCTCTGCTGTGGTCTTCTTCACACTCAAGTCCAGTGCCACCTCCTCCTTAAGTGAGGCGTGCACACTCGAGGGGGCTTCCCGGCCAGGCAGAGATCCCCTGCAGTCTTTGTCATGGCTCTCACTGGGGGCTGGGGCCGGGTCTGGCTCAGCCGTGGCCTCAGGTGCCTGCACGTCCAGGTAGTCACGGTAGGGGGCCAGGCTGAAGACGTTGTCGATAATGGGCATGGGTGGGGAGCTGGGTGGCAGTGTGCCCTCGTTCTGTGGAAGAGACTGGCGCTCCTGGGCACAGGGCAGGAGTGCCGGTGGGGTGCGTGGAACTGGGCTATCTCCAATGATGATGGGTGCCCCAGGGTGCTCATCGAGGTGGGGCTGGAGCTGCTCTCTCCTGCAGCTGGGCAGCCACATCTTCTCCTCAGCTTCCTGCACTGGCTTCTCTGCAGGCCTTGCAGGCTCTAAGCATGGCTGGCTGGCAGGCAGAGGCTGGCATGCCCGCTGGAAGGCACCGGGCTGTGGCACAGCCTGCACACTGTTCTGGGAAGGTGGCGTCCCTCCGAGCCCTGGGGATGCTCCATAGAGAGAGAGGTCATCCCGGGCATAAGGAAAGCCCAGCGTCTGGGGGGCAAAGTCCACTGGGCAGCGTGGGGCAAGAGGTGGCTCCAGCTTGAGGCCTGGCGAGGGTGCTGGGAGGGGGGCAGAGGGGTAGGAATAAGTATCCAACCCCACTGGGGGCATATAAGGTGTCTGAGCTGCCTGCTGCCTCAGGTAGGGGCTGCTTAGCCCACCAGCTGGGTACCCGGCCCCCTTGTGGGCTCCCAGAGGCTGCGGTGGAAGCATTGAGCCATAGCTGCCCTGCTTCTCTGGGTGGCGACAGGCTGGAGGGCAAGGGAGGGCCTGTGCGGGATGGGGCAGCGGGTAGTGGGTGGGCACTGCATCCTGGCAGGCTGGTCCCAGAGGTTGGGCCAGCTGCGTCCAAGGACTGGGGGGTCCCTCGGACAATGCCTGCTTAGGCTCCCCAGAGTAAGGACCTGCATACTTGGAGGCCAGGAAGCCCGTGCTGTGGATGGCCCGATACTTCTCTAAGAATGCCTGGCACGGGGAGAAGCTCACCGAGGAGTCTTTGCCAGGTGTCCCAGCTGGCACCCCACGCAAGAAGGTACCATCCAGGGACTGGCTCTTGCCAGGAGCTGGGGGCAGAGAACAAGATGGGTCGGCGGTGGGTAACAGGGATCCAGTCACCAGCGTCCAATCAACATCCAGAGGCCTCTTTGCTGCCCCTTCCCCCAGGCACGTTGAGAGCCCATAACACAGAGGGTTGCGGTAGACAGGTTTGGGTGCCGCCAGTGGTGGGCCTGGGTAGGAGTGAGCCTGGGGACTGAAGGGTAGGAGCTCAACGGGGCCAGAGTCCTGTACTTTCTCGGAGCTTTCTGTGGGTGGGCGGTAGAGCAGGCAGCTGGTCAGAAGGTTGTCTGCCCGAAGTGGGGGTCCTGCCATGCTGGTGGGGTACAAAGGTGGGTATGGGGTCCAGGATGCCAACCGCTCAGACCCTGTCTTCGGAGGACCCCCCATGGGGCAGGAGAAGTAGGCACCTTTGTAGCTGCAGGGGTCCTGGTTACCAGCAGAGGGAGGCAGGCTGTGCCCGGGCCCAGAGTCTGCCTCTAGGCGGGGCAGCTTGCCATACATCACAGGCCCCAGAGTCCCCAGTGGCCGCTTCTCCGCCATCACTGTAAAGGCTTCAAGCCCTCCAGGGCCCCAGCTACTCAACTGCTGACCTGGGAGAGAGAGGGAGAGGCAGGGGCTGTCAGAAAAACAGGTCACAGGCAAGCAACAGAAGGCTGTTGCTCTTCCTGGCTCATTGCCATATGCCCAAGAACTTGGCACTTAGTAATTGCTCAATAAAGACTGTATGGATGAATGAATGAAGGCACGAGCCAACTTTATTTTGTAAGCTGCAGAATCCTTTGTTTAATGAATTCTTGTACAGCAGCCCTAACCTACCCCCGCCCCCACTCCAGGAGCCCCTTCTGTTCAGCTTTCCTCCACATGACTCCCAAGACCCCTTCCACAATTTCAGACTTTGTAGAACACAGTCTGAGGATCGCTTCGCTTGGCTACTCCTCCTGCCCACACCTCCACCCATTTACAGATGAGGAGACCCATTCATCCCAAAGTCACTGATGAAAGACATGGGAGGAGAGGCAGGCTTCCTACCTCTCACTACAAGCTCTTATTCCAAGACGCCATAGTGATCTCTAGATGCCTACAGCGGCCAAGACGTGGAATCAGGCACTATCTACAAATTCAGATTTCCTGTGATACTCTAGATCTCACTTTCTGACCTGCCAGTCTCATCGAAAATAGCAGAGCCAGGCCTGGAACCCGGGTCCCTAGGCCCAGGAGGACAGACACTGGGCTTGGTTTTAGAGGGCAGTACCCCAGCATAACCCTTTGTATAAGCCCCACCCCGCGCCCTAGACCCACCCCAGACCCACCCCCAGGAGAAGAGCAAAGGCTGTCCAGCAGATGGTGCTGTGGCGCCAACAGGAAGCTGCCAAAAGGGGAGGGGAGGAGAACCTGTGCCCGTCCCAGCCCCCAAACTGCAGCTATTCCAAGAACATGGGGGCAGCACAGGACCCTGGAGCAGGTGGGGAGGCGAGAGGATGTGAATATGCAGGGAAGGAGCTTCCAGGGGTCACAAAGTGCTAGTTGGCAACGACCCCCATTGTATTGATGGAAAAACTGAGCACCAGAGAAAGACTAAGGTCCTCAAGCAAGGCCAAGCAAGGACTGGGACCTAGAGGCTCAGAGAGGTCAAGTGTGGCTTTCCTCAAGGCAGCAGGCACCCAATGGCCCAGGAGGGGGTCATCTGAGGCCAGTCTACTAGGACCACATTGACCTGCTCCTACCTCCCCCCAGTGCCCTGTTCCCCGAAACCCTCAGGTGGCTTAGAAAGGATGAATCAGCTCAATCTTGCTATCATTAGGCCATGGGACAGGTGTCACAAGTTTCTATCACCAAGCCAAGACCAGCCCCCCCCCCCAGTCTTCTCCCTTCCGGCTGGGGGCCCAACAACCCCCCCCCCCCCGCGCCA